CAGTTGAGGGGGGCAGTTGAGGGGGGCAGTTGAGGGGGGCAGTTGAGAGCAGTTGGGTTGATTGAGGTTTGGTTCTCGGACGTTCCAAAAGAGTTCACACTTTGAGGTCGCGGCACACTGTCCTCCTTCTCGCTGGTCGGGCTGCTCGACCGGTGTCACCTTTTCGCGCGACCGAGCGAAAGAGAAGCCGTGTAAGCATGCAAGCTGACGGAGACGTTCCATGCATTTGTGGCCCGTGTGCCACTCCTGAATGTTGCAGTGTGCACCGTTGGATTGTTCAGAAGTTACCGACAGCCTGAATGTTGGATTCCAAATTTGCCTTACTGTAGTTGGCTTTGCCTGCAGCAAAAGCATTCTTGCATTATAGGGTGGTTGACACTTTTTCCTTAGCCTTTGCACAACACCTTCTTTAGGCTTGCAGACATCTTGCAGACGTGATGAGTGCTGAAGCCTATATTCACATGAGGTGCTCATGCTGATACATTTTCTTCAGCGTCGAGAGCCACCCATTCTGCCATCATTGCAGGAGTGAAGTATTGTCGGGCAAACTCGGTGATTGTGCTTGTGGTGACTCTATTCTGTTAACAGATGACCGATGATGTTGACATGTGAGGACTTGGCCTTTAGCCACAATGAAAAGCCCAGATACATCAACGGTGTAGATTGTCGGTGCGAGACTCAACTTTGATAGCGGAGACTCAACTTTTCACGCTTCGGTGACCATTTTTGTTCGAGGTTCTGTACAGATGCGGCACAGATTGAACGGGAAATGGCCTACTTAAGAGGTCCGCGCTCTCCCAACAAGGACCTATGTCCTTGGCTCCTTTTTCTTGGGACACGTACCAGCTAGAGATGAAACCATGCCAGCTTGAAGCTCTTTTCCGCCAAGGAGGATGTGGGTACACTGCTTCTTGACTTCTTCCGGCATTTCGGTCACGAATACCGGTGCATGTCCTCAGTGCTCTGAAACTCTTCGAGTTGAAACTTTTCTTTTGCTTAGAAGTGTGACACCAGACTGGTGTTTCATATCTCACCAGGAGCGGAATTATCCGCATTCGAGACACCAGATCTGTTCTACCACCAGGGGATGAGTGCCTTTCCGAGTTCTTTTTTTCCAGAACAGATGAGGTTCAAAGCTCGGAGTTCTGAATTTCTGAGGTCAAAGTGCTTTCTGGTGGTAGATAATCCATTTGAGGCGAGTTCCATGCAGTTTTGATTGTTTGGAAGGCACTGTGTGCAGCGAAAAGCAGGTTGGCAAAGACGTGGCCAACGTTGACGCTTCCCAGCAGGGCTCCATCCGCAAGGAGAATTCCAGTTGGAGAGTATAGAGAATTCACTGCCATCATGCATACACATTGTCACATTGGGTTTGTCCGTTCTTACCTGTAACAGTCAGTAAACAATTATTACTATTTTTGATCAAGGCCTGCAACTGAACCATCATCATCCACTGTTACAGGTAATTCATTCTGAGAGCTGAGAGCAGCGTGCCTTCTTCTCTTTGGTCCGGTCTCAAGATCACGTTGCTGGCTGTGACAGGAGTTTCGCCGAGCTTGGAGCTACTTAAGCCAGGCAGCTTCGCCGGAAGGAACAAAGCATAGGAGCTTCGCCAAGCAGAAGTTCCTCGATTCTGGAACTGATTGCTTGTGTGGTTCATGTTCGTAGTTCTCGCCATGTATCTTGAGCCTCCTGGAAAAACATCATCCGTCCGACCCACCAGGGCCGCAGCTTCATGGAGCTCTTAAGCTCTCCGGACGCAGCTCTCCGGTGAGACCGCTGTTGATCAGACGCCGACCAGACGCGGACAAAAAATGGATGCGGATGCCCATGGTGGTCTTGCCAGTGGCACTGACATTGCTTTTTTTTTCTTTGGTCCCGTTTCTGTTGGCACGGTGAGTAGCCTTCATGTTCCCATCGTCCAGGGTGAGATTGTCCCACGACGCCTCAGTGCTTGGATGCAGTCGCTAGGACTGTGGGTTTCCATTGGAAGCGCCTTCACAACAGTTGACACCTTGGCAGGACAACTTCCTCCTGAACGCGGTACCATTTACCGGATTAAGGACCGGGGTGGTGTAATCTGAGCTGTGGTTTACATTAGGGTGTATCCCATTACCAGTGACTGTCGGTACAGGATGATCACTATTTTGTGGAAAGGTCTTTACACAATTTTACATGTCTTTACTAACTAATCATAACCACAATCATAATCATAATCGTCGTCGTCGTCCTCCTCCTCCTCCTCCTCATCATCGTCATCATCACCATCATCATCATCATCATCATCCACTGTTGCTGGTAATGGGGATATACCCAAGCTTAGATGGATTAGAATAGGGCCACATTGGTGGAATGTTTCCAGTCACTCGGGATGTCAGGCCATCCTCGCGGTGAAGGGACATCCTTACAAACATGTCTTCCACGCTGTCCAGCGGGCCTGTTGCAGTCATCGGCAACTCTCGGCAACTCATCGGCAACGCTGCGCACACTTGGTGCATGAGCAGTTCATTGATTCCGTGCTGTGCAGACCTCTGTGCAAACGTGGTGTGAAAAAACGGGGGTTCTGGCCCTTAAGTATTTGATCACCAGGCTTTCTTGATCCAGGGTGAACATTTAAACTCCAAAAAGCCAGGTCATGGACATCAGTGACGAGGATGATGCGGGTCCGTGGCAAGAAGGTGAGAAGAAGGCCAGGACCACACCCTTGCGGGTCCCAGGAGAAGAAGGCCAAGCGTCCAAAGCAGCAACAGGATAGGAAACACAGTTCTAAATTTTGGAATGCCTCAAAACCAGGAGCTGTGAGAACCTTGCGGGGGGCTAGTCGTAAAGTTTATGTTAGTCCATCTATTTTGTGTCCATTGTTTGTTAGTTATAATATAAACAAATATTTTGGGTGACATGACCTGCGTGAGGTGTCCAAGATTGTATTCATTGGCAAGGCACTGGCGTGTTCGGACAGGCCGGGTATTGCATGTGTCAGCGACCTTCGTGCCTGCAGTCTTTGGACCAGAAGTTCCTACGGGAAGGATTTGAGGCCCGGCTGAAGGACACTGCTTCTAGTGAAGAAAGCTTCGTGCCGCTTTCATGATGTTCATGGTGTGACAACATGGCTGTAGATCTCTCTCAGTGGGAATGCCAGTCTATCATTTTCCAAATGCTATTGAATAGCTTCTTGTTACTACTAGTAAGGCACTTGTTCCTAGTAGCTTCTTGTTACTACTAGTAAAGCACTTGTTCCTAGTAGCTTCTTGTTACTACTAGTAAGGCACTTGTTCCTAGTAGCGAGGCACTTGTTCCTAGTAGCGGATACTGCTTGGAGAGTTCTAGAAGCGAATTCCTTGGCGCAGGCCATTTTCGAGTGAGAGTGCTCCTTCGAAAGTTTCCACCCGCACACATTGCTTCCTGCACTGAAGCATGGGTACAACAGTTCCGAAGGGTTCAGACTGTGTGGCCGTTGGAATGGTCCTCTTAATGGAGCAGTAGATGAACAGCAAGCCGTACCCAGCTTTCAGATGCCACCCCGAAGACAACTCCAGTGGTGGCGCAGGAAACAGGGTGTCAAATCGCTTCTGAGGGGTGAGCTTGTTCTCAAGCCTAATCCTGGTTGAACATGCATGTACAGCCGTCCACGCGCTTCATTGACACCGCAGGAGCAAGGGTCCTATGACATGAAGCCAGTTCCGTCATTTGATTGTGGACTCCTTGCATTTACATCCTGCCAAAGACCGGCAAGACGACACCCTCCCGAGAAAAGACATTGGGATGAGATTGGCACTTGGCACCCTGGGGTTTGTGTGGGTGATTGCGAAACAGGCCACACACACATGCAACACTCGAAGTCTGTTTGGCCAGCTTTGCGGTCAAGTTGTCGAAGGACTGTCCATGAAAGACGGGAAGGTGCATCTCAATTTCTCAATCAAAACGGGTGATTATTGCATATATATATAATATGCAATATTATACTATTTACATATTTACATCTTTCTCATGTTTCGTCATGTGTTTGCAATCTGTTTGTTGGTCTCAATGCTCACTCTTCTTTTATTGGTCGATGTGTTGGAATCGGGTGGTTTCAGGAAATGCCCCTTCTTCCCGTTGCAGGGAGTTTTGGGAGTGACCTGACATAACGAGAAAAAGAACGTCACGTTGTCATTCGCACAATTTCTGCGTCACACACATGAGCCATGTCGCTACGTATGCTTCAGAAGAAGGTTCGAGCATGAGACAAAACATGGCAAGACAAGGGTATTGCAAGGTTGGTGCAACCTGTTTTTATTCGAAGGTTGGTGCAACACCATCCGAGACGTCAGCTGAAGCAAAAGCCGCAGTCCAGCCAGGCATGACCAGACTGTAGCTCTCTGCATGCACTTGCTCACCACTGGCTGAACAACCTTTCAGTTTCTCATTGTCAAACAGGCATTGGATGAACTTTTCTCTTGATGATGCGCTTGATGTAGCTTAATCAATTTAGGGACGAGTCATGCCTCTGCAGGGGGGCGCAAACCTGGACAGGGAGGAGGAGGCCGGCAAGTTTTTGTGGACTGTTTGGGACAGTAAAGGTCTGAAATTGCGAGGAGCTGCAAGAATGACAAGTCAAATCATTTCCTAGAGCCGCCAAGTATTGACAGGCCCAGTAAGATCGCCTTTACCATGAATCAGGGTTGAACATGCGTCCAAACATGTCAAAACACAGAAAGCTTTTGATGCGTCACCGTGGCATCCGGTGATGTCACAGGCTACTACTCTTCCACGGGTGATGCGCCACAAAGCGGAGGCCTTTGCTCGACCAAGTGGTGCCCGTTCTTTGTTGTGCCTTACAGTGCCTTACCGAACATTCTGCCTCCTGAAAAACTGGCATTTCGTCTTCGAACTCGCAGGCAGTTCATTTTAGATTGAGAGGTCACAATTCACATCATGTAGCAATGTGATCTATCACCGACATGTTTGTGTCCAGCGAAAGGGACCCCATCCGAACGACTCCCCCACATCTCCCACAGCGGCAAGGCGGTTCTCACCGCCGGTTCGCTCAGAAGAAGAACGACCTCCCCCAATGTACGGTACACCCAAAAGTGTGGGTCAAGATCAGGGGAAACCTCAACACAGGCTTCCAAATGAACTTTCTTGGAAAGATCACGAGGGCAGCACCGTTGCAATCAATGCCAGGTGGAAGCTACTATGACACACACAAAGCCACAGGCGTGGTTACGTGGTTCGGGGCAATGCCTGCAGCTATGGACATATTCAATTCTTTATCGGATTCTTTCAGTGTTTGGGGGCAGGCAGTCACAAGACCCCAAGCAATCACATCTAAATTGCAATCACTCCAAGAAATTGCATGGGCGTCTGTGGCCTTCAATTTGTGCAGGTGGTGCTGCTGGTGGATCTTCAACCATGTCATCAGGCAAGTCAGCCGGCGAGCCGGCCACCCAAGACCCACCCGTGGAGCACCAACCCCCTTGGGCCCTTGGTAGAGGTCCCAACTTGCACACCCCAACATCTACAGGTCCGAAGCGACTGACCGGATTCACTGACTCCGTAGGCTACGTTGCTTCTCCTGGAGTTCGTGGCGGTTTTCATGGCAGTGATGCACAGAGAGCACATGTGGAGGCAATGCGTCTGCACCCCAGACAGTTTGAGATTCCTTGGACCAAATAAAAAACAACACCTGCAACCACAAGACCCTTCAGCTTCAGGTCGTTCAGTCGAGGAATCTGCGCCAGCAAGTATGCCCGTGCAGGATAGATTTGGCCCCCTTAGACTGTCCTCGACCGATTCTAATTGGTCCTGTCAACGCAAACCTCTTTTGGATGGAAGGACGTTGCTGTGCGGTCGCACCTAGGGCAGGAAGCTCAGTTTGCTTTTCACAAACGAGGTGTGATGGTGCATCAAACAATTGAACTGAGGCTTAATGCTCTGAAGGAGAGAAAGCAGAAAGAGGAGGAGGCGCACAAAGAGAGCGATAGGAATCATTCGCTCGCGTCGGTGTCTTGGATAGTTTGCCTCCATGGTTTGCATATTTTTGCATCCTCTTACATTATATAAGATCTATCTATCTATATATATATATATAAATCTCTGCTCCAGCTGCAGGAAAAGCAAGCAAAACGAGAGGCTCGCCCAAGGGCCCCTTGCGTCCAGCCGCGCTCGGTCTGTGTTTCCTAGCGCTTTTGTTTTGCGCTCCTCGCCAGGCAGCCCGAGCGAAGCGACGCTCGGAAGCCACTCAGCCGGGGACACCCAGAGACCGCGTCGCAGGTGCTTTGCCACCGGGAAGCGCCGTTCGAGCTGTGTACGGCATTGAGACCAAGCGCTTTTGAAACGCGGTAGAAGCTCACTTAGACACACTCCCATCTTGCAACACCATTCAATACCTTGCAGCATAATGCTCACCTTTGACACATAGTTTATAAGGAGGTATAAAGCTGAAATGTGAACAAGAACCAGGTTGAGTTTCCGGGGTGTTGCGTTGTATATCTCTTGAAGATGATTTGTGTACCCTTTTTGTATCTGAAATTCAGGCAAGAAGTCGCTGACGAGCAGGCGCTGGCTGAATGTCCCACTGGCGTGTTTTGGGGCAAAACGCACGCTCAACGTGCATTGGACTGGCCTTTCGGTTTGGAGCTCAGGTGAAGCACAAGCGTGGCAAGACAGTGAAAGCAATGAGCGAGTCAAGCCTCGGCCACAGTGGTTGTCTTGCATCAAACGAGCAGGGCAGGAGGTGCAGGCGGTGCAAGCTTTTCGCACAAGGTTGAAGATGTTGAAGTCACCTAGAGGTTACACTAAGTAAGTCAAATATAGATGTTTTAGAATGGTTTGTATAGAGTCCAGAGGAAAATGGTATTCCAGTAGTCCATTTGCAGGTTGCTTCTTCCGCCCTCACACCACTTCGAGGTATGAAGCTGCTCTGGTGGTCCGAATTGCTATCCGATTTGGAAGTGCATCAGTCGGGGTCCAATCTTCACAGATGGAACGCACACTTCTAAGAACAGACCAAACAAAGGCCTGACTTGAAGCCTGTGCGAACTCGTCGTTTCTCCGTGAAGTCCGAGTTCTCCCCAGTTGTTCCCTCAAATTCGGAAGTTTGGACGTTTCGAGGTTTGGACCAAGATTGCGGAAGCGCGTGCAAGAGGCGTCCGATGCATTGGACGGTGCGTGCTTCACCGAATGGTATCCAATCGAAACCTCTGGGGCTTTGCAGGTTCTGAACTGCCCTTGGATCCACGTAGAATCTATTTGTTGGATGGGTCCTCAGATGAGCTGTATCCTTATGCTTTCTGGCTTGTTCGATGTTCTGTTTCATGCCTGAAACCAAGGCACACCCTGACAAGTGCCCCTTGCCAGAAGCGTGGTGACCCCAGAAGGAAAGAAGCACCATCAAACAGGACTCATTGAGGTTTGGTCTCAGCCACTCATCGCCTCTTTTTGCCGCAACTCTTAGCCTTCCCAATGTGACAGGGCGGATGCCACAGCGATCTTGAATGCACAACGTCCTCCAGAGATGACAGAGGTTTGTGGACATTGTGTGGTGAGAACACGGGCACGATTTCTGTTTGGCATTCCTTTTTCAGTTTTAACAACTACAAGATTTCGGTCTGCGAGTATACAATAACATATATCTTCTGTTCCTGGCGAGATTTCTCAGCTTGTGTGGCAGGCACGTCCACGAGCTGTACCAAAGGCTACTGCGAAAGCACCGCCTGCAGCGGCCCCTCCAAAGGCTGAGGCACCATCAGCCGCTCATTGCTTGAAGCTTCAAATCAGTGGTAAAAGCTAAAAACTCTATCTTTAGAAGAGATCCTACCCTTGGTTATATTAAGACTATTAATGCTAGTCAAAAGGACACATATATACAAATACATTCTTATTTTAGGACATATCAAACGAAACTACTACAGTAGCGGTCCTCCATCCTTTGGCTTTCGTGCCTTCAAAATGGGCGAATGCAGGCTATGCCGGAAGCGGATGTGGAGGAGGCTGTGCCGGTCGCCCAGAGGATTCGTTTGTGCCGGTCGCCCTTGGAATGTTTTCAGGTGGGCGAAGAAGTTCGTTTGGATCCAGAGAGTGGAAAGGACTGCTGCACACCATGGTGCATTCTTTTGGCTGCTTGGCACCTCATTTCTTTTTTGGGTGCATTCTGTGTCTTTTTAATGATTATGCCGCTTTTTGCCAAGCAGAAGCCATTTATCCCCATGCCGAAATTTGTTGAAGGAAGTTACTTTCCAACAGCACGTATCTCAGCGATTTGTTGCTTTTGCAGAAGAACTTGCTCTTGGTGGATTTTCCAAGAACATGTGGGAACATCATCTTCTTGTGCTGACGCTTTTGCTGTTCGACCAGGCCCAGGTGTCGATCAGCTAGAGTCACAGTTAGATGCTCAAGGGACGTGGTTGTTTTGGCGTTCTGAGGCTCCAAGAAATGTACAAAGTCCATTGGATGCCTGAAGACATCGAGGTCCCAAGTTGCTGCAATTTCTTGAAAAGAGATGTCTAGAACTACCAAAGTGAGATTAATATGCCAGCGATGGCATAGCTTACACTTTAGTAGCCTTTGTATGATAGAGTCCAATCGGAAGTCGCCTGATTGCAAGGCCTATTGGGCTTCAGACTGTGAACCAGTGAAGAAGTCGACAAAGCCTCGGACAACCCAGGCAAGTGGCCAGAAATCCAGACCACGATGCATCAAGTGGCCAGACGATGCATATCTTGCTCGGCGATGTTTTTGTTGAAGGGGTGTCTCGCTGTTCAGATAGACTATGCTAGACTGATAGACACTCGTCGTCCATATTGGATCATGATGGAGCTTCCCACGTGTTTTTGGATTGTTTGATCCACCTTGGTGAACTTGGAAGAAAAGCAGAAGAGAGCCCTAGCAAAAATCTCCCGATAGGCTCCAGCAGAAACTCCAGCTCCCAGTACAGCGGCGGGACATGCTGGAAGCGGAGCACCGGAGGCGATCGGATTCGGTTCGTTTTGTTGCGTGCCAACCAATGGACTCCGATGTGTTTTAATCGACAAACTGAAGGGTTGAAGGGTGGCTCAATTTTTGATGTCAAAATCAATTTTCCGTGGCATGGTTTTCAGTTTCATTTTCCGTCTCCCTTGGTAGTGCCAGCATCTCTACCTCTACTTCACTGAACCAACCAAAAGATGATTTCGAGGCCCGAAAGACGAGAAGATTCTGAGCTTTTGGCCACTTGAAAAACAACGCCTCGCGCATCCTGGCTCTGAGCTTTGCACACTGAGAGTCTGTTTGACCGCATCTGGTTTTGATTCACGTGAAGGCTCTGCAGTGCGATATTCTTCGGTCCAACTCTTCTGGCAGGTTGAAAGCTGCTACTGCCACCCATTTGAGACATGACTTAGTGTCGCGTGAACATTGGAGGAGGGAGAGGCATGCATACTTGGACACCTTCGCATAAGCACAAACGCTATCAAGTGCTCATATTGTTCATATTGTGCAAATGCGCACACTCACACTGAGACTCAGCCCAGAACGTGGCACACAGATACTCGCAACACAAATCCATCCTGAACAGACGCGCACACACACACAGACAGAGACACACTCTACACAAGCAAATCAGAGTGACTGTTGCCACACCTACGGAACCAACAAAGCCCCACAACAAAGTAGGGTGGGTCATGGAGATGTGATATGACACATTATGCAACATGTAGCGAGTGATGATCTCTGACCAGCCATATGCTTTCAGCTCTGCCGACGTGCATACCTCAGTTCAGCCAAGAACCTGAGATTTGCTGAGTGTCGACTGCGCATTTTGTTTGCTAGTTGAATGGTGCATGAAGCATCAGGAAGCTAGTTTTCTAGTTTTCTAGGTTTATTGCCAGAGTGCGAGATGCGGGCTCCTCAGACTTGCTGCAAGATTGGAGACTTCTACGTCTCATCGCTGCCTGTTCTGAACGTCGGCTCCTGCAATGAATTCCATGGTTGTAGACACAGGATGCTAGTTTGCCAGTATCTTGTTATGCGAAATGTCTGTGCTCTCCTTTCGGAGACTTCATACCGCTGAGCTGGTCCCGTCGAGCGCTTGTTGCGCTGCATGGCACCAGCCAACTTGCAACGCCACCTGATATCAGCAACGACCACCACTGTTCAACACTGCAACCACCGGTGGCTGGCCTTTTGCCACGAATGGAAGGCGATCCCCACTGGCAACGATCACCATTTTCCAGCATGACAAACATTGGAAGCTCGTGTTTGGAAGCCCTTGTAGACCTTGTAACATTGTAGCCGACCCGAGAATCCTTCTCAGGTTGGGAAGCAATGCAGGAGGCGCAGCACACCTTGAAGTCAAGTCTATCCCTCCGGGACGGTGGTCTTTCTGTTTGACAGGCTCTTGCGGCTGTGCCCCCCAAACGAATGGAGGCGGAGCCTGCGGAGCCTCCGGAGCCTGCGGTTCCGGAGCTTGCGGAGCTGGGGCCAATGTGATGAGCCTCGTCATGTCAGGGAACCGCGTTGAAGGGAAGCTGAGATGAACCGAGCGGCATGGCAGTCGACTCACCTGTGGTCGCGACCAGACCAGCGACACTCAGGACAGGGATTTGGAACCTACCGCATCGTGGGGCCGGGAGCTCGGAAGAGGCGGACACTCTCAATGTTACTCTTGGGAAGCAAAGCCCCTATGGACTTATAGGATAGGGAATCTGAAAGAGTTCCACGTCACCCTTGGATCCTTCACCTCCATGGCCGAAACACCCTGAAACACTCTGAAAGACCTGGCCGAAGATTGATTGAGGTCGCGGTCTTCCGTGAATCGCCCAGTCAAGCTCCGGCGTTCTGCAGTCATTTGTCAGAGGAACTGCACAAGTGACCAACTCAGAAGGTTCTTTCGTCCTTGGACACAAGAGTATGTAGAAAGAAGCTTTTCGGACAAAGGCATTTTTCAGTACATTCTTCTATCCAACATTTCAGAGCAATCTCGATTGACCTTCTCCAGGTATGCATTTGGCACTGTTCGTTTCGAGAATATCGACGTTTCCAGCGTGAGTTGGGCAGAGGCAAGCCCACTTTCCGCAACATCCCGATGACTTAGAACTTAAGTCCCATGCTTGCGGGTGTTTTTTTTTTGGTCAGAGGCAGTTTGCGAGGGGACACAACTCTTGACTATGACTTGTCTGCCAGGGCCATTTATCTGAGCTGTTTGTCACCTTAAGACAAGCTGGGGCAACATCGCAGAGAATCAAGGCGCCAACTTTCAATTTGTCAAATGGAATTGATCTATGCATATATATATATTGAAATATAGAAGTAGTCCAGACCAAATAGAAATAGATTTAAGAAGTCCAGACATGACATGGGATTGATCTAAATGGCATTCGTTAAATGGACATGTCCATTGATCCATGACACCCCCCTTTTTGGCACAGACCTTTTGGGAATGGTCTCCATCAGTGGGGCACTGGCTCCACTCGGGCTAGACTGGACGAGGAAATCGCTTTCCGGTGCAAGCACTGGAGCAGACGACACGGCTGAGACAGGTCTAGTGAACCCAAGAACTTGGAAAGAGAAAACAGCCGTAAGATGAAAGGACTGGTGAAATGCTTCCAGATAGAAGACGTTGCCACCAGGCTTCCTCCCGCGGGCTTGATTCTATCTGCGGGGCCCATTCACTGACATTTGATTTGGTGTCATGATGCTGACACCTCCTTTGCAACCACCTCCACCTCTGAGCCGGATGCTGCTTGCCTGAACAACCAAACAAGTACTATAGCTTTATCACTCCCAAAGCCTCATGGCCTGGAATCCTTCAAATATTTCTTAAGCGCTGATGTCCTGCATGCCAAATGGAATGGAATTCCCGGTCTCCGAACATCTTTGAACTTCGGATATTGAGTGGTGGTCGTCTGCTTACAAGCGGCGTTCACCCAACCGCACACATGGGTATGCTTTGGCTTCATCGGGCACTCACGAAGCAGGTGTTCACCCAACAGTCAAAGGGGCAGTGCTTTTTCAATCATTTCCAAACGTCGAAGGCTTGTGGGCTTTGATCATTTTGGATGCACGGCTTGGCTGAGCGTCTTTCTCCTGCCTCTTCATTACGATGTGGATGGGTGAGGATAGATGGATAGGAAGGAGAGACTGTTGGGGCTTTTGCTTGTGAGCAGGCCGAGGTATTGTTTGTTGCGCATCCTCTGCCAGACAGGGTCTGTCAGAATGGAAAAGGTTCGGCACCTGTCCCTTTTGCTTCTTCTGAGCGAGTCCTTGAAAGCCCATGAATAGTACATAATTACATAAAGTTCTACACAGGGTCCCTTTCTTTCTTTTCCGCCATTCTTCGTGCGCTCGAATCGGACCATCCACCCATTTTGGGGGCGCAAGACGCGGCCAACGCTGCTGCACCCGCTGCAGGCGTACAAATGTGGAGCCAAGGATGCCAGTATTTGGAGCCTTTGCGAATGGCTCGTGTGCACAGTCGATCCCTAAGACGGCGGCACCGGGGGACGCCCCGACGTTCCTAGCGTCCCCTCCTCGCTCTGTACTGTAGCGATGCCAGGAGCCCCTATATAGTAGCTTCTGGTTCCTAGTAGGGCCAGGAGCCCCGAACGTAGCGTCTGAACGGATTCCGCACTATGTTCGGGATGTCAACCTACCATGGTCTGGTGGAGGAAGTTTTGACTCACGGCGATTTGTTGCCACTGAGGAAGCATCCAAGCTTCCACAAGAGATCCATTTGTCGCACAATGAGCTGACCACAGCATCTTTTCAGGCCACAAAAGACGCAGTTCGTCGATCAACCTGTCATCACATCAGTTCGTTCTCACTGCTGTTTGGAGGCTTTGGTCACAGTTCTGGAGGCGTTCATCTGAGTCGCCACGGGACCGGCTAGTCGTACCGAGCCGAGCCGCACCGAGCCAGGTGAAGAGCTTACGACACCGACCAAGCTATCCCTACTGGATTCGGATCGAGGAGAGGTGGCAGCTGTGCAACTGGTCCTGAAAGTAACAAGTGTCGCTAGTTTAGATGTAACAAGACCTTGCCAAAAATCTGATTGACACTTGATCAATCTTGATCAAATCTGTAGTGATTTGTAAGATTTTGTAAGTACATGTCATGTCTATAGATTCTATATAGTCTGTAGTTGACTCGGGACATGAATGCTCCATGGACCAGGGGAATCGAGTCTCCCTGGACGTCATCAATGAACTGTCCAGGGCCAGCAGCTTAGAGCAGCTCTATTTTTGAGCAGTCCTCTCTCTCTCTCTCTATCTCTCTCTCCCCACTCCAAATGAACCAACTCCAAGCTGGCCTGCTTCACTCTGTTGAAGTCTGAAGTCTTAGGTGGGGAAAGCTTGCTTGGCCGTTGGCAAATGCTCGACTCCAAGTGACACTGACCACCGAGTCCCGTGCCCCGTCTACTGACTCGTCGACCGACTCGGTCGGACCCCCGGTGAGGTGCGACCCGTGGCTGCGAACTGATGCAGCAGGGGCAGACGCACGGAACCCAGCTGCTTCATCCCCTGACGCCTTCCGATGGTTCCCTTTGGTCAAGGCCAGTGAAGAGTGACATAGACCTTTCAGCAGCATTACGACGTGCAGCGTGATCTTTGATTTGGAGTGAAACACTTCATCGTGTCTCTCAGTTTGACGCCCGCATTACTGCACCTGCGCGCGGCCCTCGAGGGCCGGTGTGGGCTGAACACCCCGGTGGGCCGAAGCACTCTGCACCGAGGCTTTGGAGGCAACCAGCGGCCGGCACCGACGTGGGCGACTGAGGGTCGATGTTTGGCGTGTGCTCGGTCCATCAAAGTTTCCATGAAGCTTTGTTCATGATAGTTTATGATGTTTATGCCCCACATGGACTTGCGTTTTCTTTTCCCACCAAGAACAATTTGCGAATGTTGAAGGTTGAGCTTCTGAGACACCGAGACACCCCTTTTACAGGCAAACTGGTGATGCTGAGACGCATGGCTGAGGACTGTGGCCACCTTCCCTTCTGTCGTGACTCAGTGTGATGTCAAGCCATCGCTGTCAATTGAACCTGGTAACCTGCTTGTATCGCCTGGAGCAGCTTTGAGGTCGTGAGTTCGATGAGTGGTGTTGCTCCACAGGCTCCGGTGCTCAGGGCCACTGGGTGGGGCTCGGGCTCCGGGGAAGGGCCGGGGGTCCGGTGCTCGGTGTTCTGGAGTGCACGGTGAAGGGCTCCGGTGCACGGTGCTGTCAGGAATCATTGGCTCCATCTGCTCCAGAGGACGCACAATGTTGGCATGGGATTTGCCTTCTGCAGTTTTGTTTTTCGTGTGTCAAGGCTTCAGGTTTCTGGTCACAAGACGTACATCAAAATATATCAAAATCACATGTGTTGAATCCGAATCTTTGGTGCCGATTTCCGCCGCTTTTTGACTCGTATGGCTTTTTGACTCGTTCGCAGAACCCTTCTGCGCTGCTGTCAAAGATCCGGATTGCCACGGTGCTTTGGTCGCAGATTGCAGAGAAACGCCGCCTGTGTTGGAGTTTCCATTTTTTTCTGACAGATCAAGAATCCAAGGACATGATGAAAGAACTAGAGGCAAGGACTATTGCTGCCCTATATGGTAGGTAGTAGTATGTTTTGCTTTTTCCACCCAATCAGGCAGCCAGTGGAGAACCCACGCGATCTTTGGCAGAGAATGCCGTCCACCTCCCAGCTGTGGGTGTTGGGTCAGCTCTGCTTGCAGCTGTCCTGAGGCTCAATGCGCTCAAGAGGAGCTGTTGGAGGCTCCCATGAATCAGACATGTGCCAAGAACACAAAATCTGTTGAACGAAATGTGTTGAACGCAAAGGGGTTTGAACATGGGTCTACATGGACTGTCTACCTGATGTTTCATGGTATTTACACCTGCCATGCTCTGTACATCATGGAGCCCACCTCTGCACCTCGACAATCCAGGCAGCCCACCTGGCCTCCATGGCAGCGAAGACTGCATGGCAGGCGTTCGCTCCATCCATCTCCGTTCGCTCCACCCGCTTGCTGCGCGGCCAGGTGACGGTCCAAAATGGGTGCGGTGCCCGGTGCGGCTCGCTGTGTTGCGTTTTCGGTTTGGAAAGGCGTTGCTCCAGGGCAGAAAGAAGAGTTGCAGGGCATTCTGTTCGGGTTAAGGACAGCCGAAATGCAGTGGCAGCACATGCAGGCATGGGCCTCTTGTCTTTTGGGCTTGGAAACTGACATGTTTGATCCCAATGCATCCTCTTCAGTCAACGTAAAGAAAAGCAGACACTAGGGCCGCGCAGGACGTCGTGTTAAGACCTTTCATCACTTTCGTGCATCGTGCGTCGGTGCGTCTTGCTAGTTTGAAGGCGAACATGCAGCTCGGAGCTCAGATGTGCATGGCTCTCTTCTTGAAAGAAGATTGGTTTGATTTGCCATTCGCCAGGCAGCAGCAACAGCAGCAGCAGTACCAACAGCAGCAGCAACAACAGCAGCAGCAGCAGTACCAACAGCAGCAGCAGCAGCAGCAGCAGCAGCAGTACCAACAGCAGCAGCAGTACCAGCAGCAGCTTTGGCAGCAGCAAATGCAGCAGCAGCAAATGCAGCAGCAGATGCTTCAAGCCCAGCAGTGGCAAGCGGAGTTTCAAGCCCAGCAGATGCAATGGCAGCAGCTTCAGGCACAGGAACAAGCCCAACAACAGCAAGCGCAACAAGCGCAGCAAACGCAACAAGCGCAGCAAACGCAACACGTGCAACAAGCGCAGCAAGCGCAACAAGCGCAGCAAGCGCAACAAGCGCAGCCGCAAGCGCAGCAGATTCAAGCCGACGAGCAAAGCCTCAACCACCAGGCTGGCAGCCTCTTTTCGCTTTCAAGGGTTTGCATCAACAAAGTTTCTTCGCTTTGGTGAAGCCCACGCTCTCACGTTCTTGGCCGCAACAAAAGACCGTTGGTTTCCAGTGTGGTACCAACGTTTGATGTGCAGCACCAGTTGTCATCTTAAACTGGGCCCTAAAAAGATTGTTTTCCTTCTTTGCGTGTTAGACCCTGTTGGACATCTCTTTTCAGCGGCCCGACCCACCTGCTGCTACCTGGCCTGACTGATCCCACCCCATCCTGTCTCACTTGACTGGTAGAAGCAAGTCCGTGAGTCATGTGGGCAGCTTCTGAGAAGTGATGGGTGCAAGTACAAGCAGGGGATTGTAAGCACCAAACTCACAAAAGCCGAGTTCCTCTTTTCACTTGACAAGAAAGGGCTTCAAGTCGGTTCACATGCCCTCAACTGCACAAGACAACTCAAACGTTCTACATAGGGATAAGGTTTCTGCTCTCCCCTCCCTTGCGAAGCTGGGATCCTAGAAACCCCAAGAAAAAGCATTCTGTGCCCTATTCGCACATTCACATGAAAATTCAAAGAGCCTCATCGAGGTAAGAGAAAAGGAATAAAGCCCTCTCCACTCACAGTGCTCCGGTGCCGTTCTAAGCCGCAGGTTCTAAGGCCGTGAGCCCCGAACAAAGAGAAGCCACATTCTCCCATTTGAATCCAGCTTCAAACACAAAGGAAAACACTTCCATGCTCCCGCAGCAAAACGAACACATGCACTGATGCCATGTCTTCAAAAATCTTTCAAGCTCACAACCCCCTTTTCCTCTTTAGTGCCCAAGTTAGCACCTCTCAGCACTTCCCGAAGCACTCGACAACGGCTCACCTGTGCGCATCAGGATGCTGTAGCCAAACCATCGTTGGCGAAGATAGTGCATTGGTGGCTTCCTTTTCGACCATCTGATCGCAGCAACATACGACCATCATCCAACCATGCCACTGTGACAACCCTCGAGGATAAGCCAGTCGCCGCGATGGGCAAAGCAAGATCACTGTCGAAAAGCTTCTTCCGCCACCCTCCATGTCTAAAAATCTTCACAGTCATCACCCCTTCTGGAAAACGAATCACACACTCATGGGTGATCCCATTTGACGGCTTGACCACAAGGATGTTCATCACGCTGGGATTGAAGAGCCATGCGACACCACGTAGCTCCTCACTTCTCAGCCTCTCCAAAAAGGTGGCCATGTCTTCACCACCCCTTGAGGTGTATGCCTCGAAGTCCAGGTTCCTTGGGATTGGCATATTCATCTTTTCCACTCCCTTTTCACTTTCTTGTGGTGCTCCCTCCTCACATAGTCCCCCTTCTTGTACCGGAGGAGGTTCATGATGTAGGTGTTCAACCCCGAGGTGCCCGTCGCTCGCACACTCCTGACTGCTAGACTCGAGCTTCCCCCCTCCACCTCTAGAAGTGCTGGATAGTTCGCTCACTTCCATCGGATCTGATGACAATCCTTTCGATGACAATCTGTGCAATCCTGTCACCCACCTCAAACGAAATCTCCTGGTCCCCGTGGTTCGCCAGAATGACCTTGACCTCCCCGCGATAGTCTGAATCAATGACCCCTCCTGCCACTTCCAGTCCCCTTGACGCCAGAGAACTGCGGGAAGCCACTCTGCCGTAGCATCCTTTGGGAATCTCCATCGCCAGCCCCGTAGAGACTAACTTTCGCTCTCCAGGACCAATCTGCACCTTCATCGAAGTTGACAAGTCCCAGCCCGCTGCACCAGGTGACCCTCTGTGTGGTACGGTGGCTTCCTCCTCCAGAAGTTTCACCTTGATGCAATCTTTCCCAGCCACCAATCGTCTCACTAACTCCAGTCCCAGGTCCTTCAACATGTGCAACAAGCAAACCAATCCTGCCAGTAGCACCAACCAACCCAGATCTCCCATCATAGATGATGTAGGCTGAGCCGGAAAATCACCCTTCTCACACACCTCGGCATGCTCGCAAAATCGCTTCATCTCTTTGGGTCTCACTCCAAAAGGGGTTCACCTGAGCTTGCGGTCCCAATGTCGTGGGCACTAGACTCAGGTGTTCTCTCGGAGGTATGCTCTGACATGGCTCTAGCACGCAGAGGTAGGTAAGGTTGGGCTCATAACCCACCAAACTCACAAAAGCCGAGTTCCTCTTTTCACTTGACAAGAAAGGGCTTCAAGTCGGTTCACATGCCCTCAACTGCACAAGACAACTCAAACGTTCTACATAGGGATAGGGTTTCTGCTCTGTAAGAACCAGTTCAGTGTGTTGGTACCAATACAGATTCATTCATATCCTTGCATATTATGGTATAGCCTGATATAGCTGTGTGGTGATCCTTTTGCTGCTGTTTGGGATTTGTTGGGATATTGGATAGGCCTCAATATCCGAGGCTTGCTCCATGAATGCTTCCGAAGATTGAACATGCCAACAAGTGCTTTGCACTTCTCGAGGTGCCGGATGTCTCCATATCTGCAGAGGAAGCTTCTGATGTTGTCAACAGGCGAGGTCCTGACATGACAGCCTTTCTATCAATTGACTAATTCAATTTAAGTAGCACCTTTGCAGAGCATTGTTCTTGATTTTTGCTTGGTTCTCAGTGACTCTCAGTGGTTGGCCTGAGATTTAAACAATTTAAGACATTTAAGCGGCAAAAGAATGCAAAAGAGCTCATCTCGAATCAGGACAATCAACAGGGCGAAGGCCAAGTTGGCTGCTGCAGAAATTGAGGCACGGATGAAGGAGCCACGGTCTTTTCCGACGGTTTGCAGTGGTGTTTGTCATTTCAGCACGCGACTTGGGGCTGCAAGTATTGCAGCGAGCTCTACTGGAACAGGAGAACCAAGAGCCCCCAAAGGAGCCCCCAAAGGAGTCTCCGGAGGCGTGGAGTTGAGAGTGGAGCTTGCAAGCCCGCCATGACTTCCCGTCGTTCGAAGGAATCCAAAAAGGCGATCCCGGAGCCCAAGAAAGGACAGAACGAGGGACCGGATGTAAAGGAGTCCAAAGATGGTGGCTTGGAAGAATTGGACGAATCAGAAGGATCATGTCATCTCAGCATACTTCGCAGACACACATGACATGATATGATCTATAAAAAACACATATACATGCATTCTTCTCACATGGTCTATCAATCATATTGTTCTCACAGCTTGCTTACACCTTCGTTCACTTCGTTCGCAACCATTGGTGCTGACACTCGTCACTTCCTCGATGTGCCAGGTCCTCCGCGGCGCACTTCAGCCAAAGAGTCGACCTCCGAGCCCAGGCGACCAGATTGGGACTCGGATGTCAAAGACCATTGTATGAAGTCTCTTGTAACTCATTGTAACTAATAGCTTCTTGTTACTACTAGTAAGGCACTTGTTACTAGTAGCGATGCACTTGTTCCTAGTAGCTTCTTGTTTCCAATAGCTTCTTGTTACTACTAGTAAGGCACTTGTTACTAGAAGCGATGCACTTGTTCCTAGTAGCTTATTGGACACGACTGGGTGAGCAGGGACAGAGAAGGCTCAGATGGCTCAGATGGGTCAGCATTCTGCCGCACGGTTTCCCGCACGACGTCACGAAGTGCTGCCCTGGTTTCGCACCAAAGAGTCCATACTGGGCTCGGTGTTGCACGCAGTGGATACCCCAGCTCTTGCTCAGGGACAGACATTGAGCAATCCACTTTTGGTCGCACTTTGACACTTCCCTTGAATCCGATCCGGTTGTCAGTGCGGAGACAAGAAGGGAGAGGTTTAGAATTCAATGGTTGAGGAGACCAGACTCATGGCAAAGATATATGCCTCCCGGAACCGGAGCGGAACCGGACCCTTTCCGTTCGCCTGCTCCAGGCGACCACGTTCGGAGCGGTGGAGCGAACTCGGTGGTTTTTCGGTCAACACTCCAACGACCCTTTTGCTCCAACGCGTGCGCACTCCAATGACCGAAAAACCACCCACCCGAGCCGAAAACGCAAGCAAGGAGGAAGCCGGCAGCCAAGCCGAGTTCCGCTCCGGTCAAAGAGTCTACAGAAGAGAGGCGAAGTCTGACCGTTGCTTGCATTGCTGACCAAATCTCTGTGGTTTGGACCAATGATTCGTTTTTGATGTTTGTTGAAATTCAAGATGAATCCGTGCAAGGAAACTTGCAACCAAGCGCCTGGCTCTCAAATGTTGATCTTCGGCGCACTTTGGTACACGCGGCTTCCTCTCGGCCAAACTCAGGACCAGCTGATCAACCGAGACCGACCCCAAAAAGGCCTGGACACACACTTGGCATGTAGCCAACATAATCCAGCCACCTATATAATTATCATTAATTATCTTATATTACTTTTTACATTACACTATACTATATACACACAATGACACCAGCATATAATATGACGTCCATATCCATCCAGAACCAACGAGTCGCCCGGCTCGAACGAGACCCCGCAGGTCTCCGAAGCCCATCTCGGTCCACAGCCGCAGCGCGCGACGGAGCAGCCGGCGACGGTCCAGCAGCCGCCGAAGGCGTCCGGCGACGGTGCCGTGTGGTGCTTTCCGACACAGAGGTGTTTGGTGTCTTGTCTTCTTAGGTGCAAAATCGGTGAAAGAACGTAGGTCATGCTTTTATTGTAACTCAGGTGCTTTTGGCTGGTCCAGCTTGGGGCATCCAAAGAGAGGAGTGGGGAAACTGGGACTTTGGCAGGTATCAGACTCGGCGACGCCAGTCGTCCCACTCACGGCGGAGGCCTGTGGCGCCTAGCGGATGCCACACCCACAGCCAACCGACTAGCCTTCTTGCTACTAGTAGCGATGCCAGGAGCCCCTAGTAGCGTCCTTGCTCCTAGTAGTAAGGCCAGGAGCCCCTAGTAGCGAACATTGCTCCTTTGGAGGTTCTGTTAAACTCTGTTGGGTCAAGACCGGCTGTGGTGGTCCCTACTTGTGCCAAAGTCGGACGGACATGTTTTTCCCAGGAATCCCCATGTTACTCTCAAAGCCGCTTGTGCGAACCAATCTCCATTGCCACGTGGCCGCACTTTTCAACAACATTCACATCTTCCTCGTTGACTTCGTCCTTCACCTTCATGTTCTTCTGGATATTCTCGTCGTGATGATCGTTCTGCTCACACACTCACCACCACTTCGACTTGTGGTCCCGGCGCACATCAGCCATTTTCACGCCCTTCATGACCACAGGCCCCGCGCCCGACTGATCTACTTATCTTTGGCTTCGAACGGACCTTATCGACTGGTCTCCCTTAAAAGACACTATATAATGGCTGGAAGGGTTGACCCCAAACCTGGAGCTTTTGCCGCGAACGACCTTCCAGGTTGATTCATGCGAATCGTACCACCCACTCGTCGATTCCATGGTGTACAGTTTTCTTTGGATTACATACCCTACTCCCAGATACCCGGTGAAACCGAAGGGTCATGGGAAACGCCTCAGACAGAGTCCACAAGTATCGGTCGGTCAACCGACAGGTATCCTGGTTTTGACCTACAGCCTGTAGATAGTGTAGATATGTGAAGATGCACTTGCGTAGACGGCTGCTGGTCTGTGGCCAGGCGTTTGAGCCGAAGCCGCACACGAGGTGAGACGAACAACTTGTTGCAACCGCCCGGTCGACGGCGGCCTCGTCTCCACCTGAGAGGCCGAAAGCTTCAGAAAGGCAGGAGACGTGGGGTCTGCAACGTCTACAACTGCTTGGTTTTGTTGGACATCTTTTGTGTACTCTGTTTGCTCTCTTTCTTTGGTTTTCACATGGTCTGATGAAAGGACAGACGGACTCTACCAGGCCCGGTGTGACTCAGTGACTGGAACGCTGTAGGTTCACCCTCTCCTCCTCCATGGAGAGCCTCTCGCCGACGAGAGAACACGAAGGCTGAAAAGGCCAAAGGTAAGGATGACGAGAAGAAGATTGAGAAGAAGAAGGAGGCCATCGCTATTAGGTTGGAGGCCATAGCTATTAAATTAGGTTGGAAGCCATTGCTATTAGGTTGGATGCCATAGCTATTAGGAACGCCATTGCTACTTTCGGTTGGAGGCCATCGCTATTGGATGTATTTCTGAAGGAGACAAGGACCCCTGAGGAAAAGAAGGACACCAAAGAGACTGAAGTCAAAGAGGCTCAAGAGGCTGGTTGAAGGTTTTCCCAGAAGTAACTTACAGACACATGAGAGACAGATATTCTTCCACTTTTTCAGTGACTCTCTTTCCGGTGGCGAAGAGGCCTGCGATCAGGAACTTCAAAGCAAGAGGCCTGCTCCCGTGATTCAATCGAATCAACTGTGCGATGTTGAACTGCAGGGAGCGGCTGGCTGAAATGGCCAACCTCAAAGCAAGCGTGGCCGCCCTGTTCGAAGGGTCGACCAGGCATGTATTTTCGAACGACCGCCCTATTCAGCGCTGGAATGACCGCCAGGCTGGTGTAGAGCTTGATTGTGCTACTCGCAGTGCGCCTGCAGAGCATCCTTCAAAAAGCGTGATCTTTTTGGAAGAAGGGAGCATTTTCAAGAGGAAGATAGGGAGAGATGTCACATCATTCTTATCTTGCTTTCGCAAGCAATTCTTGGTGTCTTGCTGTGTTTGCATTGAGCGTGCACCACTGTAGCTTGGTATGTCTCTCAGCCTGCCCACAGATGCTAGATTCACACACATGAGATGAGATGAACAGCAATTTGGCAAATGTGTGCTCTCCTCCAGCACAATGAGAAGACATCCCAAGCAAAGTGCCACTTCAAGTCTGGAAATCCTAGCAGCAATGAACCGTTTGATAACAGAGACATGACACCGACAAGCCCTTCTGGTGGAACTTCATGGGCGTGAAACCCACAACTGAAAGCTTTCGAAAAAGGGGAACGTCAGAGATTCGAAGGCTGAATCGGCCAATGGCATGGCGGGTGTTGCGAGGCACCGCTTCAGGCCGGTGATTTCATCCATGGAATCGTTCCATGACCGCTTCGGGCCTCGCAAGAAAGTCACCCTTAAAGTGAATATAAATGAATAGACAAGTCTGGTCCCTTGGAGAATGTGTTGGAAACTCATTCCAAATACGTATTTTTGGGAATATATGCTCACATAGTCACATAGTCGCTTGGCCAGCAACCTTTGCTGTTGTTAACCAGTGAAAAAAACACAGGTCCCAGTGATTGCTAGAGGTTTGCAGACATCTCTGCAGGTGCCTGTCAGCAAGGTTCAATTGTAGGCGCCTTAGTTTGAACGGTCTGGTAAGATGCAATGCAAATGTCCTCAGAGTTGCTGGAAGGAGAACACTTTCTGTCGGCGGCAGTGACTGCCACACAAAGCTATGATGACGATACCTTCCCATTCTATCATATTCTATGATTTTATATGCTATTCTATGTTATATGTTCTATCATATTCTATGAATTTCAATGAATTTCTATGATATTCTATCATATTCTGTCATAGTCTATCATATTCTATGAAATTCTATGAAATTATGTCATATTCTGTCATATTCTATCATATTCTATTATATTCTAGCATCTTCTATCATATTCTATCTTATTCTATAATATTTTATCTTATTCTATCTATCTATCTATCTATCTGTCTATATATCTATCTATCTACCTAGCTATCTATGTATGTATCTATCTATCTATCTATTTCCAAGTGGGCACTGGCTTGTGAAGTGCACAACTTTTCTTAAAATGATGACAATTGATATTTGCTTTGCTTCTTTTCTTGTGGGTTTGCATCGCAAAAGACCAAAGAGAGCACTCCACGGCTGCAGTCAAATGAGTTCTTGGATCAGTTGTAGGTTCTGCTTGCCATGCATAAGGCCTGGCGAATAGCATGGCTTTTGCTGGCACTTGCCATCGGAAACCTTTGGCCAATGCCTCAACCATTTGCATCTCATTTTTGGACGAGTTCGTGCCTTTTCCACTTGGAATTCGGGGCTGTTTGGTCGATTTCAGTGCCCAGTCTCAGTCGAATTTTTCGCAGATATCGTCAATTTCATGGAGCAGCCAAGGCCTGACGGTCCGCCTTCGAAAGCATTTGCGCGAAAACATGTTTTTCCCGTTGGCCTCCGCGAGCTCCGACAGAGGAGTTGGGTCCAACGGGTTCCGGTCCGCATGCGAGCGGCGCGTTGCCTTGTCAGCGATGAGGATCCAACAGGGAGATCTTTCACGGCAGGAGTATTCTTCTACTCTAGCCAGTAGGTGCCTGAGGATTGGACGAACATTCGGATTGGACGAACGTGACGAACGTGGTGCATGAGGTTTGCAAAAAGCTTACGAGCAAGAGATGGTGAAGTGGATGCCTTAAATTTTGCGAGGCTGATAAATATGGGTTCTTGTTACCTTCACTTGCGTCCCCAGGTGGGGCAGAAGGAGAAAATGGGAAAAGGCCGATTGATGGCTTTGAGCTTACAGAGGGTGGACCATAGCACGGCCGTTCGTCGAGTCAGGCTTTGGGTTTCCTTCAAGAGATGAAAGACTTTGACTACCAGCCAGGGGTACTTGCCTTTGAGTGAGCCACACACAATTCCAACTCTTCCACACGCTGAGCAAGGTACCGGCTTATTCTGCTGCCATTCGTGCATGTTGCGAGAAGGTGAAGAGGTCGTGGTGGGACTGGCTCGCTTGCACCAGCGTTGGCCCTTCCTGGCGTCGTGTTTTGGCTTAGAGGCCACGAGGTTTGGCTCTTTTAGAGGAGATCAAGGACGTGCCTTCGCTCGTCCTTCACGCAGACTGGGACTTTTGATCACTTGACTGTGAAGCACACGGTGATTCCACAGTAGCGCAGGATCTTGGCATGGTTCCAGATGAAGCAGCATTCTCTGCGGCTTTGTCCGGCTGTGTGAAGGTGCCGGCATGTCACATGCGGTGCATGATGTGATCGCGAGGGAGTCGGACTCGTTCGATGAAATCGACCAATGGGAGGATCGGCAGTGGAAGCTCTCTATCCAAGTTTTGCGTGACATGCTGAGTCTGGAGCTTGGACAACACATGCGTTGAGGTGGAATGGCCCAAAACGAATTGATCAAACACGCACAGGGATACTGGGTGATCCATGTCTGCTTGCTTTTGAATGTCAGCAGCCAGCGTCGATCTTCTCAACTTTGTAGGTACTGGAGCTCGCCGGCGTAAAGCGACGTTCATGGACGCGCTCCATGCTTGCCAGCCAATCTGGCTGGTATTTGGACCGGAGGTTACACCGTCTACACCTCAAGCTGGCCCATAGTAACTTGGAGGTAGACAACCTAGAGGATTCCTAGAAGTGCTGTGAGTAAATGAGTACTTATACTTATAGGATCTTATAGGCAGGTGTGGTGGTGGGGTGTCGTTGGGGCACCACGGTGTGGGCACCGGGCGGATGCTCCGCCAGCGCAGGTGCGGAGGACTCTGGCAAGATGCCATTGACATCATAGAAGACACGATCTCAGTGGCTCTCATGCGGGAACAGCACCAGGAATGACCACATCCATGGAAGAAGCTGAAAGGGACTGCACCACTACCTTGCTTGTTTCAGGAGGGACCGCAAGGGTGGGCTGCCCTCACCATAAACATCCCCATTTACATCCATTTACCATGGCCCTGTGAGCATCCATTGACTAGGGCCAGGGTAGGCATGATAACCAAGGTCATGGAGGAGTCAGACATTGACCCCGCAAGCGAAGGCTTCAACAAGGCACGGCATGGCAAGGCATGTGATGGCAAGAGTGGGTGGACTCACTATCCAGGCGATGGATGCCTGCCTTACTGCCAACGAGGCCGTGATTCTAGAGGGGAATTTTGCCGAAGATGCTTTTTGCAAGACTCCCAACCAAACTTGGGCAGGATGACTGGTTTGATGTCATGGAGGACAAAGCTGCAGCTCGTGGCTATGAAATTATTTTGTGAGAAGAAGCCAAGGGGCTCGTGGCAGGGTCAAACGAATCACTCGTCAGCCCTCGAATCAAGTTCCCATGGCATCGCGTGTGCTCAGCAAGCGTGTGCGAGCGTCCAAAAACAGGAGGCGTGATCAACTATCGAGCGAGCTCTTCTACAATGCTGCATTGTTCTTCTCTACAAACTGGCCCAATGGCCCTTTGACATGGCCCAACACCATCGCTCAGGTTATTGGCTCAAGGAGCTGGCCCAATGAGATCGACATCAGCAGTCCCTACGATTCCATTCGAGAACGTGTTTCTATCCGTGTATACACGAACATGCTTACAAAGACCAGTGATCCTGTCTCTTTCGTCCGGGGTAGTTCGCGGTTTTAGTCTTCCAATGCGTGCTGCTTGAGCAGTTCAATGTATCAGGTGGTGATTGTATGTGATTGTCACTCTCGTGTCGCTATTTCACTCTATGAAGCCAGGGACATAGAAGCTAGTAACAAGGGCATCGCTACTAGTACAAGGGCATTACTACTAGTAATACTAGTAGCGTCCGAAGCTACTAGGTGGACATTGTTCTCTTTGTTTGTCTCTTCGGCTGTGTTCAATTAGCCGACCGACCACCTCGGCAAGCCGACCGCAGGGATGCTGGTGCCCAAAGCCGAGGCGCCACAAGTGACGACCCGGAGCTTCGGTCTAATAGCTTCTTGTTACTAGTAGTAATGCACTTGTTACTAGTAGCGATGCACTTGTTACTACTAGCTTATTGTTACTAGTAGTAAGGCCAGGAGCCCCTAGCAGCGTCCTTGCTCCTAGTAGCGATGCCAGGAGCCCCTAGTAGCTTCTTGTTACTTGCTTAAGTTTCCCAAAAAATCTAACCACATCATTAGTGAGAGCGCTTCTTCAAGGAAGCTCCCCCCCAGGCATTTTGGCTCACAGCCTCGTGCCTCACGCCCCCACGCAAGGGCCGGGGTGTGGCTACTGGTCCCTGTGGCCAGGGTTACACGTCCAAAGATCTGGTCCTCACCTGGATCAGGATTGCTGATGACGATGGATAGCAAGAAGAAAGATGGGTCATTGTCGCGACTTGGATTCATCGATTGGGCTACGATGGGCATGGCAGACAGCCTGAGTGCCTCCGTTCGGGAGGCACTGCTTGCCATTGCTACTACAGGTGAGTGCAAAGCTGCAGGGGAAGCCTGGATTCTCTTTGGTGAGGTGACTGAGGTGCTGAGCCTGAACCCGTTGCATGTTCAGGTTCACCGCACTTCTATGCTGCTGAATGATGAGGGAGTTGGGGACATGTGGCCTCATTTCGACCTGATATGTCCCATCAAGCATGACCGTGTTGACCTGTCAGTTGGTATGAGCATTGGGGTTCAAGTGCAGCCGCACCATCGACTGCAAGCAGGGAAGATCATTGCGGATGCCACTGTTCCTCTTTGGAACCTCCCTCAATTTGACAAACACCTTGCATGGAATGTCAGTCACCTGTTTGCAGGAGCGTATGAAGGGTGGTTGCGGGCAATGTGGTGGTTACAGCAAGCCAACCTCGGTTACTCCTTTGCCACGCATACATCA